AATTATTATGTTATTTATTCGAAATAATTATGTTATAAGTTGGACTATATTATTATGTTATAATTTATTTTGTTACATTTTAGACTTGATTATGATATAAATTGGACGTTTATCGTGTTAGGAGTTACAAATTATTATGTTACATGTTGATTATAATATAAATTGGACGTTAGATATTATCGTGTTACGAGATAGAAATTATTATATTACATATTAGTCTTAGTTATGTTATAAATTGACGTTAGATAGCATCGTGTTAAGAGTTACAAATTATTGTGTTACATGTTTATTATAATATAAATTGGACGTTAGATATTATCGTGATCGTGTTAGGAGTTACAAATTATATAAATTGAACGTTAGATAATATCATGTTACGAGTTACAAATTATTATGTTACATGGTAGAATTAATTATCTTAATTTAACATGTTCTAAAAATATAAACATTGTATTATATAGCAGGAGTCATGGGAAGATTTTGGAGGAGATGGTATTGATTACAGTCTGCGTTTCGATACACGTACATTATATAATAGTGCTCAGGAGGCTATTGAAGCTGCAAAACACCAGGCAATGCTGAATGGTTTCCTATTAATAATTTCGAGCCACAAAAAGAAAACGGTCAGACTTTTGAAGTGCCATAGAGGCGAACGGTACAGAGGCACAGACGAAAATTCTAGAAAAACAAAAACGAATAAGTGCGGCTGCAATTTTGAGATCAAAGTAAAAAAGGTGTCCGGCGCTCCATACTGGAGGATCTGTAGATGTAGCAATGAAGAGAAAGGCTACCATAACCATGCATTTGCTGTGTATCCTGAGGGTCATAGCCAGTTGAACGGCCTCAGCGCTTCATCTAAGAAAATTGTTCGTGATATGACGGACGCTCAGGTGGCCCCGAAAAAAATTATGGCCGCACTGAAGGAAAAGAATCCGGGAGACAACGTTCATGTGCGGCAGGTATATATATTTATACCTTGTAATATATGTTTTAATTAACTTTTTTAAGTTAATTATGATAATTAGTAATTTGTTATATGTAAAAGTTATTGTGATAGTTAATAATTTTTTTATCAAATTAATCGCATTAATATACTTTTTATTTATTAATATAATAAATTTTTTGTTTTAAATTATAATAATCATTATAATTAACGCTAATCGGTGACAGGTATATAACTTTAGAGATAAGCTGCGGAGAGATAGTTCCGACGGTAGAGACGTTCCTTCTCAGCTTATGCATTTGGCCGTGAGCAGCGAGTATACAGTTTATGCAGAATCCGATCCGAACACGAAAGCGTTGACGCATATATTCATGGCCCATCCTGCGTCGATCAATCTATTCCGGACATATCACTGGTATGTCGGCATAGATTCCACGTATAAAACCAACAGGTATGTTACTTTATAAATACTTTATTAGTATGAATCTTAAATAGTGTGTTTGATTGAGTTAAGTTTTATGTGCTTATATTTTTTGTCTTTTTGGTCACATTTGCACAAGTACAAGATGCCGTTGGTCGAGATGATTGGGATGACGCCGTGCAACCAGAACTTCCTAATTGCGTATGCGCTCATCAGAGACGAGAAAGAGGCCAGTTACGACTGGGTTCTAGAGAAGTTGAGACTACTGATAGGCCAAAGCGTATATCCTTATGTTGTTGTCAGTGACAGAGAGTTGGGTTTACTCACTCCTATTCAGAGGCATTTTCCTGAATCAGCCCACTTACTCTGCACGTGGCAGTACGTGGAAGGCGATTGTAGAGGCCAGTACGTTCGATGCCTACACCGATGCCTACACCGATGCCGTTGCCGAGCTGCACGCAAAATATTCGAACTCTCCAGAGGTGATACGGTATGTGGAGGGCACATGGTTAGTGCACCGCGAGAAGTTTGTGAAGGCTTGGACCAACCGAGTGACACATTTTGGAAACACAACTTCCTGTAGGGTGGAGAGTGCCCACTCTGCGTTGAAGGAGTGGCTTCAGACGTCCACCGGCGCGCTCGATACGGTTTGGCAGAAGATTAATAAGCATATCGATAATCAAGTGACTGAAATCAAGTACGTACTGCAATTTTTAAATGCTTTATTATGTTACTGCATTAATTAATTATAATCTAACGTTATGTAACGTATTATCAGGACAACGCTTGAGGCCTCGAGATCTAAGAAGAATACACGGTATAAGGGAATCCGTTTCGCGAGCGTGATACTGAGGGTCTCGCATTACTGTCTGAGTTTATTGGACGCTGAGCTTACGAGGATGCAGAAGTTGGGCACCGATGCTTACACTAGTTGCGGTTGTGTATTGCAGCTCACTCATAGACTTCCTTGTGCCTGTCTCCTCCGTAACGCAGTTGATTTCGATGTTCCGATTGGTCTGGGAATGATTCACCAGTTCTGGAGAACGCTCGAGATATTAGAGCCAGGTAATTTAAGATTAATGTTTTATTTATAATTTTCTATTAAAATACATTATTTGTTTTAATTCATTGACTTTTTTATCATATACTTGTAGGGACTGGTCATCCGAGCCAGGCGAGCCACGCTGCATGGTCAGATGCGGCGTTCTTTCAGACGCTTGTGACTGAGGTTGAAACCCGTGATCCCGCGACGATGCGGTACGTGAATCAGTTCATGTACAGTCATCTTTACCCAGACCAACAGGATTATGTGGAACCTGAGGTTAAGGAGGACCCGCGAGGTCGTCCCAAGAAAACTAATTCAACTAAGCGTAAACCATCTGCTTTTGAGTACAACAATAGATCGCGAGGTCGGAAATCGAGCCGTACGACCAATTCTTCGCGTGGACAGACAAGTTCATTTTCTCAACAGTGACAAGGGGATGAAGGTCATACATTTTTTTTTTTTTTTAAATATGGCTGAGCGTTAATTAAAGTATTTATATGATTATATAAATTGTGACGTGAAATTATTATTGCAGAGTTTAGACCGACAAATATATTTGGATTTTCAATGTGGCAAAGTATCCCCTAGCATATGTTGGACTACATAGTGAGTTACCTGAATGTGGATGCGGATGGTAACTGTGGATATCGGGTCATCGCGAGTCACATGTATGGTCATCAGAAGTACTGGGCAGATGCAAAAGAAAACATAGCGAAGGAGGTTGACAGCCACCCTGAATTGTACGAGTACATCTATTTTAGAGATATCGAGGCCGGACTCCATCGCGTAAGGTGGGGCAATGGCCCTTGTGGACGGGCTCACTAGTTCGAAGTTCCGCAGGACCTCTATGCCGTTGCGACCCTATTTAATGTGGTTGTCGTTCATTTGAGCTCTGGTCCACAAGGTGGGCAGCACGACTTATTCAGCACCACAGTGTTGCCTCTCACTGCACGATCATCGGCTAGAGGACCATGTCGTGAGATTGCCATTTGCCATCTTGGTACTGTAGCACACTACATTCGTTTAGATTTGACTGATGATTGTCTATTACCGCCTATTCATTTCATGTGGTTTCAGTTCCGAAATCAATCAGTTGTGGGTTGGGAGGATCAGTACGAGTCTAGGTTGTGATTGTGGTATACTTTTCAAACAAATCCTTTTTTAATAAAAGAACGATATTATTCAGTTATGGTATGACGCTTCTCATTCAAGTTAAGTTTAGCAAATAAAAATAAATAAATGAATCAGTTCAACTTAAGTTTAGCAAAAAAAAAAAAAAAAAATATTAAAAAAAAAAAAAAAAAAATCATTCAACTTAATGTTTTACAATAATAATTAAAAAAAAAAACATTCATTACATTATTATTGGGCATTGTCGTAATCCAACTTAAACTTAGCCAGCTGTTCTTCGACTTCCGCCGCCACCGGACATTCGCATCCCTGCTGCCAAATCGATGTAATGCCCAAAAGACGGTCCACCCACTAAAAAAATGGAAGAATAAAAAGATAAGACTAAAATTTATTTAAAAAAAATTATTGTAATGAATTAACATTAATTAAAATTTAGTAACCAACTTACATAGGCGGTATTGACACGCGTTGGGACCTCGTTCTCGTCCGGCAGCTCCTCGCCCATGAGAGTCGGATGGGAAACCTGACTGTACCACTGCAGGTAATCCTCAGTCGCCTCCCCGCGATCCTGTGTGGTGTGGGTCAACATACCGGTGTTGACCGTCCCAGAAATCGGGAACTGGGTCCAGGCACCTACTGCACCAGCCTCAGAATGCTCAACCTTGTAGTTCCTAGACTCCCAAGCACGTACTGCACTGATTGGCGGGTATATAGGGGGAGGGACAGTCTGGACATACGCGCAGGCAAGTACGGCTCGACGACATCGCGGTATCGAATCAATCCGCTATAAAGAGTCCTCGGCTCTATCGCATCTGGGCTGGAGCTGCCGTATGGCAACCATTGCACCTGTTCACAATTGCATAAGAGCATTTATAAAAATAATTATATTATTTTAAATAACGGGTAACTAAATTTAAATAAAATAACTTCACGTACATCGGAGGCAGCGAGTCTGTCGAGGCGCCGATGGATGGCTGTGAGCCGATCGTCTGACCGTGGCGCATTCCATACGCTCCACGAGCGTGATCGTGCGAGACAGTCAGGACCGATGGGTAGATGCCCCCGGGGTCGGAAATCGGGGAAATACTCATATATCCAAGACTGCAGAAGAGTCAAGTAGCCCGACATCTGGGCAGAGTCCCCTCGGCTGGCAATACCT